AGTCAATGGAACAACTTGCCTCCAGAAGTGGTTGAGGTTTTTAAGAAGAGGTTAGACAACTATTAGTCTGAAATGGTTTATGTCCGGGATGGTGAACCTATGGTAAGTGTGACTGAAGTGGCACACAGTGTCATCTATCTGGGCATGCTAGCCATCACCTGTTGCTCTTCTGGGTTCCGACGTGCGCAAGCGTGTGCCGGGAAGCTGAGCTTCTGGTTTCCGGTATGCGCATGCAAAATATATTTTCTTTAAATATATTTATTTTGTTTTATTCACAAGACTAAAATATAAAACAAAAAACAGAAAAACGTGCATCCAACACTAACAACAACCAAAAAAAATGTGTATAAAAAGGCAAAAAGGAATAACTCAAAGATCAAATAAATCTAACATTAAACATAAAGATTCTACCCTGTCTGGATGTTGAAGAGAAAATAATAATAATAATAAAAAAACCTGATGTATTTGCCTCCCCTTACTTAATACAAATGGTTATAAGCTTTCCCATCCTTATTTAATAAAATGCTATATTAAATAAACAAATATTCCACATGGGAAAGTCTCTAATCATCAAATCAACCCAATCAATTTACAGGAATCTTCATCCAAAAGTTCCCAGGAAGAAAGATCCAAGACCACACGTCCTGATGTGCCAGCTTTTCTATATTATGCTCTCAGAGTATTGTGAGCATTTCAGCCCAGCGCATTTGGTAGGCATTAGGTTGAAGTAGGCAGCTTTATAGTATTCTTCTGGTTTGCAAAAGAAACAAGATAAGATTCGAGGAGTGGTGGAACTTTTTAGTCAATATCTGTAGCCAAGTATAATTCTTATTATTTATCACGAGATATTTGATTTGGCCTTTTATATGCAGTGTGGCAGCATAGGTCATATATTGCATGAACATCTTTAGAAGCAAGTCTTCCCGATATTTATGGCACTTATTTCTGAGAGAGAGAAAATACCAGTAGTAACACCATTCAATCAAATGTGAACTTGTTGTATAATAGGATGATGGTGGTGGTGATGATCTGAGTGGTATGATTTGATTAACTTGTTTAGTAGAACATGCTCAAATATCTCAATTTCTTTGCATAGGTAGGCACATGGGCCTTAGAGACTTTTGGAAGAACTATCGAGTTTTCATTATTTCAGGAAGTGGCATGGTGCTGATACATTGGGGGTGGTATAAAATCAAGTCCAATCCCCTTTTTCAACCCCCCCAAAAGGACTATTATGAAGACTCTGGCATTGTGACATACGTGCTGCCGCAGGACAAAGAAAATGAAGGGAAATAATTGTAAACTGCTACAGAATGAAATAAGAGGTAAGTACAGAATTGTTACAAGGCAACAAAAATACAGGTAGCCCATGACTTATGACCACAATTGAGCCCAGCATTTCTGTTGCTAAATAAGGCATTGGTTAAGTGAGTTTTGCCCCATTTTACAACCTTTCTTGTCACAGTTGTTAAGTGAATCTGGCTTCCCCATTGCTTTTACTTGTCAGAAGGTTGCAAAAGGTGATCGCATAACCCCAGGCTGCTGCAACTGTCATAAATATGTGTCAGTTGCCAAGCATCTGAATTTTGATCACATGACCATGGGGATGTTGCAACCGTCATCAGTGTGAAAGATGGTCATAAGTCACTTTTTTCAGCACCATAGTAACTTTGAATGGTCACTAAACAAATTATTGTAAGTCGAGGATGACCTGTACAACCATTAAGACCACAAAAGGAAATGTTGATGGACAGCTAATCTCTTTAATTTCCTACACCCTGTTGTGGAATTGATGCCTTTTCCAGCAGAACTGTGGTCTGGAGTCTCCCTCTGGGTGACATAGTAATGGTCCACAATAGATAGCCTTTAGTATCAAATCATAAGGAAGCTTCCCTAGCATGTCAACATCACAACTTCTATGAGTAAATCCTAAGACCAGGAAAGGAACTGGCAAACAAACTAAGGATCTACTTTGCTGTCATAGCATAGAATTTTCTCTTGGAAAATGAGGATTAGTAAAATTTAGCAAAACCAGGGACTTTCTGATGTGGAGATGTTGCTTCTGCCAGCAGCTCACTAATTGGCCTCAAGCAATTCATTTTGTCTGAATTTCATCCTGTTCTCAGGAAAAAAAACACACCACACAATGCAATATAGAATTTTGGGAAGCAGATTTAAAGCATAGGGATTTTATATACTCAAAATGGGCAAACGTAAGATAATATAATTTGGTGTTCTGGCCAGGATCCATTACAGGATTAGGCAAGAATCAAATAACAATATAATAATAACAAATAACCCCAATATTGATTGTCTCTCTTTTTCTCTATGAAAATTGGATAGTTTGATATCCCACGGCAATGTTTTAGCCTCATTAAAGCAGAGGTGGGTAACCTGGTTCCTTAAAAATCTGACTGCATTTTCTTTTTCATGATCTCTTTATAATAGTTACAACCATAAATTGGATTTGACAAACATAGTCTGTCCCCTTCTCTCTTTTTCTCTCTTTTTCTTATACACACATACATAAATATATATGTACCGATTGTGTATATTCAGTATACTCTCCTAGCTGGTTAAATCATTTTTCATCAGTTGACAATATTTGTACATGTAGCAGAACCAAAATGTTAGGCAATATTCATGTGATGCTGAACAGCTGCAGTTCATCTGCTACCTTGGCAGAGCTATTACGAATGTAGCTTTTGAGCATAATTAATAATAGCACACACTCTGTACTCATTAAAGCAAAATTTGTATCTGTGCCTTTGTTCAAAATCATGTATTCTTAGTCTGCCTATGTCTGTGAGCTTTTTTAAAAAAAGCTTTATCTTTTAAGATAAAAGACTAATACAAATTAAGAAAACTATAAAAAGGAAAGAAGTTCATAAGTAACAGAAAAAATAAAAAAAGTATATAAAAAGTGACTCTCCCTTCAGAAAAGTACAATTTTGTTCACACCTTCTGTAACATTTCAATGGAACAAAGATCTCTTCTTTCCATATCTCAGCCCTTATCAATAATCAAATTATATACACTCATTCAGTCCTAATCAGCAAAAGTCTACCAAAAGTAATAACTTATATTTCTTATTATATTACATTTTAACTTAATAATATTATACATAATATTATATTTCAATGTAATCAATCCATTTTGTATTCCAACTTGACACTTTCTCTAAGAAATACTGTAAAGCAAAAGAAATTTCTCATTTATGAACTGATCTTTAAAGTGAGTTATTCAATCCTGGTCAAAAAGAAATTCCATTAATAGCTATCAGAAACCACAACATATATATTGACTCTGATCAAATAAATCCACTTTGAATTCCTTCCGTTTACTTTTCTTGATCTTTAATCCTATCAAATAATGTCCCACCGGCTAATTTCTTATCATTTTCTCTTTCTTTCCTCTTGGGAACAGTTGCATTAGTTTAACACATCCCTTTTATAAATCCAAGTTAAGATTACTTTCCAAGTCACTCTTCTGATTTATTGTTTGTACCTCCCCTTTAATTATTAAGATATCAGCTGGTTTCATGTGTAAATTCATTGTGGCATCTTTTTCCATATCACACTCATATTCTGGCATTATAAATTCATTTTCAGACCCACAGCATCTTTTTCCATATCACTTTTGTAATCTGGCATTTTTAAAGAATACTAATCCATATTGAGGTCAACCTCAATCTGTTTTATTCAGTAAAATCTGTTGTTCTTCTATATCCACTGTTACAATATCAGACAATCTTGTAATTGTTAAGTACAGTGCTCTCAAACAGACTTAATTTCTTTTATAGCAAAACATATTGCTCCATTGTATTAATGGGTATTAATTAATGCTTTATTTGTAATCCTTAGTTCTCTCTGGTTCGCTCTAGTCAACTTTCAAAATCCCTTTTAAGATCGGTTTCTTTTCCAATCAATAAAACATTCCCACAGGAGGTGGATTCTTATGGTTAATTTCAAAATCTTCATGTATTATTTTATAAAATTTTAAACACCCCATAGGAAATATTCTTTGAAGTCCATCTACCTCATTAACTTTTCAAAGTCAATATTCTTTTGCTGTATTCCAAGTTCAATTCCATGTTAGTGCCAGAATGGCAACGTAATCATTCTATGTGGATGCCCCAGTTGGTTTCAGGTATCCTTTAGTTGCCTATGTTTAATTACTTTCAGATTTCATTCTGATTGCAAAAGTTAGAGGCCTTCTTTCAAAACCACCAAAATTTAGACTCTCTTGCCAAGTATTCCTGAGGCAGTTATTAGAAAACAATGTATGAAAGATCTGGCACAAAAATTGGTCAACACCCCCCCCCCCCTTTTTAAAACAGTCATGGTAAAAATCTTGCCTTTTGTAATTTCTCTTTAGCTTGTCAAACCTACAGTTTACCCTCAAAAAGGACCCTCCACATTCCTAGATATTGTATCATTCAGCTGGATACACAAGTTCACGCATCTAGGATGTGGCTATGATCTTTTTATTATGTATATTCAGTATGTATACATGCTGTTCTATAATAAAATGAAATCTGGACTTTCTTGCAATTGACACAAAACTTTTTCCAATAAAGTTTCAATTAATGTCACATATATGAAAATATTTCAAATATCACTAAACCGCTTCAAAGGATTGCTAAGATATGAGCTGAGAAAATGTGTAAAAATATCACTTTCATCTGTATATCTCTAAACAGAGAAGAAATAAATCTCTGTAAATCAAAGATTGAGTGCTTTATTGGCAAAAATCCATAACTGCCCACTGTTAATGCTATTTTTTTCTACATTATGCTTATATAAAAGATTATGATGAGTAATCTGAGTTGGCAAATTATCAGAATGTTTTCTACCCTGCAATATACTCACTTCTGTGATTATACCTGATTTTCAGAGATTGTTTGCCAAGAGTTTTCACGGAAATAAGTTCTTAATAAATGTATTTTTCTGTGATTATAGTATTATGAGATCTCTTTTCTTCCTCTCCTCCTTATAGGCATATCTCCCTTATTTATTATAGGTCTCCATCAACAAAAGATGTAAGGCAGCTGGAATAGTAGGAATTGGTTGTCCATGTCTGGATTTTTATTCATTGGCGGTGCCATGTTGGTATTTACCATCTAACAAAACAGCAAAGCTTGCTTCAAAAACAGCATGGAAATGAACTCAAACAGTCTGGTTGAATGAAGCAACTTCGGCAATCATCACATTGATCCCATTGTTTAACATCGAATAAGTTGCTATTAAATCCCTTTGTTGTATCGTTGCCTCAAAAGAAAACCCAAAGTCTCACATGCCTATGTATAATGCTAATTAAAAACTGTTTTGTAGAAATGGAACACTTCTAAAGCTTGACTGGAATTTTGTCGGGAAAGATGTCTCGCGCTGATGTTAAAAAACCTTCTCTCTGCACCACTGGGCCTTTAACTAAGGAGGTGATTAGCCAGGCTGCCTCCACATTTAGTAAGATAATGAAGTCCTGCTATGGCCCCACAGGTAGGCTCAAACAATTTCACAATGGCACGGGAGGATATGTTCGTATTTCATCACAATCTTCGGTTTTGCTGAGTAGTCTTTGTGTCACTCTTCCCGTCTTAAAGCTTCTGGTTGCCTCTGTGCAGAATCACCTTGCGCTCTTCAGGGACAGTGGCTTATTTACGGCAATCTTTTGCTGCAGCTTGCTTGAAAAATACGAAAGCCTGAATATGGCTCGGTACCCTTTCATTAAAATTAGCAAACATATTTTGAGCCTCTGCATTGACTACCTTTCATCTGAAACCTGTGGTTGCCGAATCCCGGTGGATTTCAGCAGTTCTAAGCTTCTCCTTAGCCTGGTGCGCAGCATTATATTGAGCAAACGTGCTTGCATGCTTAGCAGGAAGGAAGCCGATCATATCAGTATATTGGTATTAAAGGCCTTTCTGTTTACAATCCCCCAAAATGTGGATTCTAGTGCCGTGCTAGGAAAATGCCATTACATCCCTGTAAAAAATAAGAGAGTTATGGATTCTACTGTCTATCCTGGACTTTTAATTGAAATGCCAGAAATGCATCTGACCCTGCCTTTCCAAAGAACTGCTTCAGGCCAGATCAAAGTGGCTCTGTTTGGCATGTCTATGTCAGGGCATTTGTCTCATGCCGGAGAAGAAGCCATACTTATCCATCGTGGAATTTCTCTAGAAGCTGAAATGTTGGATCAGTTACTCAGTCTAGGCAGGGAAGTAATAAGTGATGGTGTCGGTCTTGTGATATGCCAGAAGGTCATCCACCCAACCTTGAAGCAGTATTTAAAGGAGAACAATATTGTTGCTGTCGAGAGAGTTGGAATAAGAATGATGGAGCCCCTGAAGAAAATGACAGGTAATGAATAAGCTTTCAGACATGATCACTTTCAGATATGATCCACAAGAAAATGGGAAGTGGCAAACTATTAGCAGAAATATTTTGTCAGTTCTCTAGCTGTCCAAATTGTAAATGCTAGATTATTAATTGAGCAATGGTCATGTGTTTGACCTATCTCTAATCTCATCCCATATATTTACTTGCTTATTTAATGTATTTCGTTTCCCATCTCGTGTGCATAACTCTTGGAGACTAACAATTAAAAACAATAAAGAATCAGCTTTAAAACAACAGAGTTAACATAAAGTAACTTAGCAACTAGGAACACTAAGTTAACACAGGTAAGAGCAAGAAATGAGCTCACCCATACTCTTGGTCCCAGACTCAAGGGCAAAACCCAGGTTTTCAAGGAGGAGACCACTTAGGGGAGATGAGGTTCCAGAAGGCAAGTCCCATGGCAGAAAAGGCTTTGTTCCTTTTGGACAGGACAATGAACGTGCTTTTTCCACCAGATCCCACATAATGGGTGGTAGACGCCCAAATATTTCAACAACTGTTGCTTCCCTCAGTTTTCTTAATTACAGCTCTTGTAAATAATTGCTTGAAAATGAGTAGAACCTATCCTGATTTCCATTCCGCAATGATAAAACCTATTAAAGCAAGATAGCGTATCACTCAGCCTTCTATTTACACTAAACCAGGTGAAACTCCCTAGAAAGTGTCACACCTCATGTTAAAGGAACAGATCATGGATTACATTTCACGAATCACAGTAGGCCAAGCTAAAATCAATTTTGTTTCCTTCCCTTGTCATGGGCAATACTATTGAAACATTTCTGACATTATTTGTATTAAAATAGTTGATATACAACTTCATTGAATAATTCAGTTGAAACATCTCTGAAGAAATATCCAGGATTTAAAGGACATCAGGTTTTTTTTTAACATAAACAGCATCAAAGTCCAGTCTAGTTAGATCCTAGAATTTGAATCACAATCACATATTTCCACAAAATGTAATTGCATTCAGCAGTATTAAGAATAAATCATTTGAAGCACTATCAAATTACTATGCTCTACTGCAACTTAGATGGAGCCTTTTTGACTTTTAACTACACTTTTAACTATACTTTTAACTACAATATTGCATGCTGCTAAGGCAGAATCAGAATTGGCTCCATATAATGTACAATGAAATGTTAATGAAAATAATTTGTGTTTCAGCCTCTTTGATGATTCAACTCTCACAGTCATATTTGCATCTGGGAAAACCATGGTTTTCCATGTCCAAAAAACACTAGATGTTTTGTCTAGACCTATCATAGTTTTCTTCTCAAGTAAGAGAGGTCATTTTTTTCATGACTATATTCACCATTTGAATCTAGAAAGTGGCTTCTTTGAACTTCTCTACCTACTATTTGCACAGGGTTGGCATTGTCTCTTGACTTAATTTTCCTTTGTTTGATTTTGATACAGGAGCAAATTGTTTTTTGTCCTTTATTTTCTCCCATGAGCTGTTCAGAGCATCCAGAAGTGGGAGGTGCTTCAATCTCTTCTGGAAAGGCTGGGCTTAAAACTCCGGGACGCTCCTCCTCCTCCACGGGACACCTCCTCAGCGTCCCCCAGTTTTAGCTCAGCCTTCGTGGTAAGAGGTTGTGCACTCCCTGACTGGAACGGTTTTCTGATTCAGCTAGTCAAAATTCAGGTTTGCTCTTGGTTTAATTCGGCTTGTAAATTTTTCCCCAATTAATTTGGTGATTTCAAGGCTTGTGGCTCTATTAGGTCATCCCCCCGATCAGTTTGAGAGCAGTTCTTTGTGGCTGGCGGAGCCTGCCACTCCGCAGGCAGCCTGAGATGGCCACTTCAGGCAATTAGCTTATCTAATCCCCCGATCATCTTATCTCTGCGATCTTGGCGGAGCGCTCACAGCCGCGGCTCACTTCTCCTTGCCGTTTCGACTGACAGGACCATTTATCTGACAATTTAGAGAGTCAGCAGCAGCGGCTTGTTAAACTGCTCAGGCAATTAACATCGGAGATTCTGCCTTCCCGCCATTTTCAATGGCTGGCTTCAAGTTCGCCCCTGCTTATTGAGAATAGAAACAAGAAAAAAGTGCTTCCCCCTCTTTTTTGGAGGTCTGAAAACAGAACGCCCCAGTCGTTTCGAAGGGGTTCCTTTCGGCCCTACTATCAAGGCCCATACGTTCCCAGATCGCAGAGAACTTCAGGCTACAGACCCAGTTTTAGACAGGATAGGTCGGAATCTTCCAATAGACGTCAGCGGGGAGGCCAAAACAGAAGAAACCCCAGAGGTACCAGAGGCCGATTTTTTCGTTGTCCCAAGTGAGTCTTTGACAGCAGCTCCCATTGGAGGGCAGCTAAAATTGTTTGCTGATCAATGGGACAGCTCCATCTCTGATGCGTGGGTCAGGGACTCTGTTAGGTTTGGTTTGGCACTAGAGTTTCAATCCTCCCCCCTGAACTTTTTCATTAGGAGCCCTAGGTCCACGGACCCCATTAAGAGAGCATTGATGCAGGAGGCTATCAATCATCTTCTGCATATTCGGGCCATTAGAGAGGTCCCATCTGAACAATGGGGTCAAGGCTGTTACTCTCTATTGTTTGTGGTCCCAAAGAGTTCGGGGGGCTGGAGGGCAATTCTGGACCTCAAACGTCTGAACAGATCATTGGTTTATCGAAAATTCAAGATGACTACTCTCCAGTCCATTCTGCTCAGCATCAGAGAGAACGATGTCCTGACCTCTATAGATCTGACAGAGGCTTATCTACATATACCAATTAGACCTGCTCACTACAAATATCTTAGATTTTGCTATTGTGATTGGCACTACGAATATATCGCCCTACCATTCGGTCTGGCTTCGGCCAGGATGGGGAGCTCACTTCCAATCCCACACTGCACAGGGAAGTTGGACTATTTCCGAACAATCACAAAGCATCAACCTGTTGGAGCTGCGAGCAGTTACGCAGTTTTCTACCCCTTTTCCAATCACACCACGTTCTGGTCTTGATAGACAATATCACAACCAAGGCCCACGTAAACAGACGGGGGTACCCACTCCAAACTTCTGATGCTGGAGACAGCCAGGTTGTTCAAGTGGGCCGAGGCCAATCTGTTTTCGCTCAAGGCAGAGCACATAGCAGGGGCCTTAAACACACAAGCGGACTGGCTCAGAAGGGCCACGATAGATCAGACAGAGTGGCACCTACACCCGTCTTTCTTCCAGGAAGCAGTGCAGAGGTTTGGGCAACCAGTGATCGATCTATTTGCCTCTCCCCTCAACGCCCAATTGCCCCAGTATATTTCAAGTTAGCCGACTCAGGGGGTGGAGGCCGTCAACGCCCTGCGATGTCAGTGGCCTCCCGGACTTCTATATGTGTTTCCTCCACTCCCTGTAATACCCAGGTTGATCCAGAAGTTATTGGAGGAACGAGCGGAATTGATATTGGTCGCCCTTTACTGGCCCAGGCGAATGTGGTTTGCAGACTTACAGGACCTGTCGAGAGAACAACCTTGGAAAATTCCACCATCGAGGGTTTCCCTCTCGCAAGGGCCGGTACTTCACCCGGACCCACAATGGCTCAGCCTAGCCATATGGAGGTTGAGCGGAGCCGTTTAAGGACCCAACAGATTTCAGAGGATGCCATTGCCACCATACAAGCATCCAGACGGTCCTCAACAAATTGTATATACGAGGCCACGTGGTCCGTTTCTGTTGCTGGTGCCGGGGGTCTATGATCGACCCAACCACCCCATCAATAGGACAATTATTGGACTTTTTACAGGAGGGGTTGACCAAGGGCCTATCTCCAAATACTTTACGCAGACAGGTGGCGGCCTTAGCCTCGATGATATCCTGGGGTGACCTTCGTTCCATAGCGCACCATCCACATGTCCGCAGCTTTCTTAAGGGTGCTGCAAACTTACAACCTCCTGTAATTCACTGCTATCCCATTTGGGAGCTCAACAAGGTGTTAACCGCACTTACAACTGGCCCGTTCAAGCCTTTAAGAACTGCTAGTCTCAAATTCTTGACATATAAGGTGGTCTTCTTAATTGCGATCACATCAGCAAGGAGGATTTCCGAATTGGCAGCATTGTCGATGAGAAAGGACCTGTGTGTGTTTCATGCAGACAGAGTGGTTCTCAGATTGGATCCAACGTTCACCCCTAAAGTAAATTCAGTCTTCCACAGAGCGCAGGAGTTGGTGCTTCCAAATTTTTGTCCGAAACCATCTCATAGACTGGAGCATCAATGGCATCGACTTGACGTTCGAAGGGCGTTAAACATCTATCTAGACCGCATGGCAGCATTTTGAAAATCTGAGGCTCTATTCCTATCCTTCAACTCATCCACTTTAGGACACAAGGTGTCGTCAATGACCATTGGTAGATGGTTGAGAGCCACCGTAGCTAAAAGTTACAAATGCCAGTCCATCTCAGTTCCTAAGGGCATTAAAGCCCACTCAACAAGGAGTGCGGCAACATCAGCATCATGGGCCACATGGGCTTCCATAGACGAAATTTGTAGAGCGGCAACTTGGGCTTCACCATCGCCCTTTGTAAGAAATTATAAAATTGATGTCTATGCCTCAGCGGACGCTTCATTTGGCAGAAGAGTCCTGCAGAGGGTCCACAGAGTTTAGGAGTGGATTTCGATCCAGACGGAGTCCCTCCCTAAGGACAGGCCAAGCTTTGGTATGTCCCACTTCTGGATGCTCTGAACAGCTCATGGGAGAAAGGGTGTTGGTACTTACTTGATACGCCCATTCTCTGTTAGCTGTGAAGAGCATCCAGCCCCACCCATTTCTTTCCGTCTGGTGGGGTTCCGTTCCGGTCAGGGATCTAGATTAGGTGATGAGTTCTGGACTTTGGCACTCAGTCTTCATAAAACGGGGGGATGCTGGGGAGGTGTCCCATGGAGGAGGAGGAGGAACGTACCGGAGTTTTAAGCCCAGCCTTTCCAGAAGAGACTGAAGCATCTCCCACTTCTGGATGCTCTTCACAGCTCACAGAGAACGGGCGTATCAGGTAAGTACCAACACCCTTTTTCACTTACAAAAGGTTAAATATTTTTCATTTCTGAGCATGAGAATGGTTGGTTATCATCGACATATCAAAGATTGTTAGTGTTTCTCCCAGGAATTTTAATTCCTATTTTTTCTAGTTCGGTCTTTCTTATATATTCTGCATGCAAGTTAAATAAAAGGGGACAATCTATAACTTTGAGTTACTTCTTACCCGATTAATTGCTCCATGTCCCATTATAATTGTTGCTTCCTACAATTTCTTCAGTACAAAGATATGATAATCCACCCTGGGTTTTTAAGGCCTTTTACAAGAAAAAAGTGAATTAAAAAAAAAAAGGGGGTATCTGTTTGAAATTCTCTTCCCTTTTCCATTAGTGATCAGATGTTAGTAGTGAGTGAATCCAGCTACCATAGTAGAGCCAGAAATTCTAATTTATTAAAGATTGGGTAGAAAAATTTTAAAATATTAATCTTACTAGTATGTTAGAGAAGTACGATTGTTTTGAGAGTTTGAGCATTCTTTTAATATTGCTCCATTTTTATATTAGATTATAAATGTATATTTTCCATTCCTTAGGCAACAGGACCTAGCACTGTTGGGAGCAAAGTGCAAATAATGCTTCTACATTGTAAAACACCCAGAGCATATGGGACAGTATATACATCTAAATCAGTGGTGGGATTCAAAAATTTTTTGCTACCGGTTCTGTGGGCGTGGCTTGGTGGGCCTGGCAGGGGAAGGAGACTGCAAAATCTCCAGTCAGAGGTGGGATTGCTGGTTCTCTGAACTACTCAAAATCTCCGCTACCGGTTCTCCAGAACCTGTCAGAACCTGCTGAATACCACCTCTGGTCTAAATGCTGTTGCTATTTGTAAGATTTTAAACAGTTATGATGGTATTTTATCAAATTCTGTGCTTTTGCTATTGGAAGTATTTTTGCTAAAAAGTAGATTTGTTGAGGAGAATTTAACTTCACTTTCCAAAATGTCCAACTAGTATAATAAACAAACTTTTTGTGTCTTTCATCAATTTTGATAACTAGTGTATAATCAACCTGATTTCACTATTTTATCCATTCATTGATGTCCATATGTGTAGTATTTTTTTTAATTGTTGGAAGAAGTGTTTTGCTACATTGAATGTCACTGGCAGCATTCTCTTTCCTGCTTCATTCTGTACAGTGAGACCAATTTTTCGGTTCTGCCAGATTCTCTTAGACTTTCAATTTTAATATGGTATGATAAAGTTAAGGTAAATATAGATCTTAAAAATCATTATATTACTGTGCCATATTGAGAATTTGGAACTGATATAAATCCAGACTGTACCCGAAAATGCCTTTATGGGTCTCAGCACAAGAAATATTTTAAAGGAACGAAACAGTAGGTAAAGAAAAATCAACTTATCAAGAGTTGTTGGAACAGGAACACAGAGGACATAAAATGAAATCAAGAGAACAATTGATGCAAAGGGATTTAGTTTTCAATGGTCTTCAGATACACAAGAGAAAGTTTGAAGGTAGATAAACATTTAGAATTGAGCGGCAGAAAACTATTTGAAGTTGAAATATGTACAAATAATGACCATATAATTGCTAAGATGTATAAACTTGAAACTTGAAACAGAAGAACAGGTAAGAGTATAGTTAAGTGGACTGAGAACTTTGGATACAATATGCAGTGGGAAAATGTGTGGCTAAAATTGTTGAAGTTTAAATTAAATCAGCAGTTAAAAGAATTTTATACAATGTTGTACCATTAGTATATGGCTCCAGAAAAATTGTCTAGAATGGTATAAAAGTACTTCAGATTTATGCTGGAAATATGATCAACATGAGTCATTTTCTCGTGCTTGGTGGACTCGGTGGAAATTTCTGGGTTCAAAAACATGTAATGATTCAAAAAATGTTAAAGACCAACATTCAGCTGAAACCAGAACTTGTCTTCAGCAGCTGCAGCCAGTTTCCAGGGCCATCTTAGGGCTCAGCAGAGGAGGCTAGAACACAACAATAGTAAGGTTGCCTTCCACAATATTGAATAATGTGTGGCCAATCGTCTGTCATAATTATCTGCAAGGAAGGTGACCTGTTAAAATGACTTCCACTCCATCCCTTTCAAATTTAGATTAGAAATCACATAGATTAGAAAGACTGGTGGACCTATATGACTCTCCCACCAATTAACTAGAAAAAATGATTAATTAACAGTACTTTCAGATTTACATATGATGGATAATGTTGATAACTCATTGTCACTTGACCTGATCTTTTTATTAGAATATTTAATTGATTATCACAGAAGCATCTTAGAGCAATAAATCTCACAAATTAAGTTCTGTGCTTTTCTGAGATTATGCTTTCATAATATAAACTTTATTCGTTTAATTTTTGCAGCCCTATTAATTATAAGGTTTGTCCAAATTACCTGCCTCTATTTCTTGCCACAGAATATTTAAAGAACATAGAAGCCTTAGAAAATATCTCTTTTTATCCCAAATAACTTTTCCATTCCCAGCAGTCATTTAAAACAGGCTTCTTTCTTTATGGGATTATACATGCCTTTATTTTCCTTAATTGATTAGGTTCTCAGCCAATACCTTCTTTACAATTCCTGTCTCCTGCTTGTTACGGCTATCTGAAGGACTTACATACACAATGTTTTGATTCAAAATGGTTCCTGCATCTAATTCCTGATCAGCCAGTTGTTTGCAGCTTGCTACTCTGCAATAGGAATGAAACAGCATGGGATGAACTAAAGGTAATCTCTTTATATATCTTGCAGCAAGCATTAGATGAAGGGGCATGTTGTTAGAAGGTTGGTCTCTTGGTTAATTCTCTCTACATATGAAACCAATAATAATCTTAGACCATTAAAGCTTATGGAAATCAAGAGTTGTACTACAAATAAGATGCTTAAGGCACTCTTTAACGAATAATCAAAGTGGACCAAGTCTGGAGAGTTTGTTAATGAGATGCAAGATGATTTAGGGAAAGGATGCCAGGAAGACAAATACAATCTATAGCCATGGATATAATTGACATAAAGTTTGGAGAAAAATATAATTGTCATGAGTTTCCTCTCTCTCTTGTCAAGGGAAGTGAAGCAGCAGGTACAAGTGTAGGCTTCTCTTAGCCTCTCCATATACAGGTAGTCCTTGACTTACAACAGTTCATTTAGTGACCGTTCAAATTTACAATGGCCCTGGAAAAAGTGGCTTATGACTGTTTTTATGACCTTTGCAGCATCCCAATGATCATGTGATCAAAATTCAAATACTTGGCTGCTGATTCATATAGTCAATGGGGAAGCCAGATTTTGCTTAACAACCGGGTTACTAATCAACTGCACTGATTCATTTAACAACCGAGGCAATAAAGATTGTAAAACGGGGCAAAATTCACTTAACAAATGTCTCACTTAACAACAGAAATAGTGGGCTCAATTATGGACTTAAGTCGAAGACTACTTTGCCTATGTATTGTGAAAATATAAATAAAGAGAGAGGATCATGAATGTGACCTTAGGGATTTCTTTAGGAAAGAAAGGGTAGAATAAAATTATAATAATGTAATATTTGGACAACATTGAACAAATAGATATTTGACAGTATTTAGGACAGTGAGTGTAATTGTTGTTATGGGGCAAATATTCTAGTATTCTGTCAGAGAGCTGATGAAATCAGGCTGAGAGGCATTAAATTGTGTTTCTTGATTTACAGCTGCTGCTTTTAATGACTATTTTAAGGAAATTAGCATGATGAGTATTTTGGCACAGAAATCTTCTCAAGAAAAGAAAAATAACACCTCTTTTTATCAAAGATGAGGTGATAAAAAAAATGAGAAATGATTAGATAAATGGGGCTTTGCAAAGTGTGTGCAAATAGGCTCAATTCCATTGAGATTAACTCTTGGGTTTGTTTAAATCAAGAGATTATTGGTTTAGTTCCTGGAAGTTAATGGGGTTTCCATATCACATGCTGAGTGCAATTGTCTGAGCAGAGTAATGACAGAAGATATGGTAGAATTCTGGTGAGAAAAAGAGAAAAATCTTTAGAGTCAAGAAAATGTCTCCCGTGCCTGAAAGATAGATAATTGCCTAAAGCAGGGGTGTCCTTGCTGGCTGAGGAATTCTGGGAGTTGAAGTCCACAAGTCTTAAAGTTGCCAAGGTTGGACACCCCTGGCCTAAAGGAAGGGAGAAGGGAAAAAAAAAAACCTTTTGCAGGCTTCATCAAAAGTAAGCATTTCTAATGGTAGAAGGGCATATCTCTTACTATTCACAGCTTTATCTGATTAATTATTTGGCTGCAGGCTATTGAATTGCAATTTATGCCATGGCAATGTTTGCTATGTTCCTGATCATCACACCTATTAAGCATGGATGGGACATAATCTGTACTGCTCATCGTATTTGCAATATAAGGGTTTCCAGTGCAGTTTTAGATCTTCAGGTTTGTTTTTGTTGCATTCTGATTTCAGTGCAACATGCGTAATCCAAAAATCTCTGTTGACTGTGCTTGTTGATTATGTATAATGAAAGTACTTTTCTGCTTTTATTTTGTAACTTAATCTTCTACTTTACAAATCTAGTAATTTGCACTTTTTTAACTGATGCATCTTTTTAAACCAATTAAATTAAAATGAACGTAGGTTTGGCTACCTCTTCATTTAGCAACGCTCATTTATGATGGCTAATTATAAAATAATTTTATAAGAATCCTTCTATTTACATACAGACCTTGATGGTCTATAAAACAAAAGAAAGCTGAACTAAAATTGTAAACATAGTCATGATTTTACTCAGCAATTGCTTTACTTAACTTCACTAGTTGTGATCACTACACAAGGATTACCTGCATGGTTTGCTAAGTATTTAAATATTACATTAGTTGTCTGTCAAGCTGTATAAAAGCAGATCGAAATACCTAGAACAATCTATGTTAATCTGTAACTGAGCAAATAAAATGGGATAAGTTAGTATGCCTACTAAACCAGAATTCCTTTGCAGGAAGGGAGGATAAATTAATTGGAGAAAAAAAAATATGTTCTGTTTGGAGGGGAAAATATCAGCGTCTATAATACAACTATTTGGTGCTTTTCCCCCCCCTCTGCAGCTTGCTTGTCAAACTGCGGAACATGCTTTGCAGTTAACAGTCAAAGATCCATGGATTTTGCTGGGCGGAGGCTGTACCGAAACTCATGTGTCCTCCTACATAAAGCACAAGGTTTGAAAATTTAATGGGGGGATATTTAAATCTTCATTTAAGGCTCCTCAATGTCTATGTGCTTATGAGTACAGATGAAACACCTTATTGAGACCACATGCTGTATATTATATAACATTTAATACATGTATGTCTCTATAGATTTGTGTATTATAAAATCAATATTAAGGCTATGGATAAAGCAAGGAGAAGGTAAGGTAAGGACATTGTTGAACCAAGCTTGATTACTAGTGACTTCATGTTTGTGTAATTTTTGGAGCAATAATGCAGAAATGATTTGCGTTGCCTTTTCCCTGCTTTTAATTTGTGTGGAGTTTTTTTGTTGCTGCTGCTGCTGTTCCCAGTTTAGCTTGACTTTAGGCTTGAGATCTCTTGGCAATCTCCCATCTATCTTAACCAAATCAGGTGCTGCTTAATTTTTTTTTTTTCTGGATCAGCCAATTCTGACTAGGGGATGGCATCTGTTAGGCAAAGGAAAAGTATGCAAAGGTTCTATGTTGGAAAATAAATGCAACCCAATTATGTTCTTTGACAGTGCACTTGAAGGCCACACAATTCTTTTCCAGAAATAATATTAAATTAAGGCAGCATAGAAAATATTATATGGGCGTATTTGTTTTTTAGAACTGTAATATTGTACAAGGACCTCAATTGTGTACAAGGACCTCAATTGTGTCTTCATTTTCAGGCAATGAATCTTTCTCATGCAAAAGGACTTACAGGTAGTCTTTAACTTATGATTGGTCACCTAGTGACCATATGAAGTTACAGCAGATCTTTCAGAGGGGTACCTGTGTCCTGTTTTTGAAGTTCCAATGGTTGCTTCCCTCCCCATGGTCACTGCAGCACATTTTGGGCACTTTGCAACTGGCCCACATGTATGTCCATTTGTAAATCCCATGGTCATGTAACCATGTTTTTGCCAAAAACCAGCATTTACTTCTAGTTTTCAACAAAACATCGTGAACAATTGGTTAACTTGACAATCAGAACAAAAAAGGTTGTAAAATTGGGTTGGTCATGTGGCACTTTACAACTTCCATTGATTTACAACCAGCGAAGGGTAGACTCCATTACACTCACAAGTTGAGGGCTGCCATCAAACTATTTGACACTTACTTGAGGGTCATAAACCACAGTGGGTTTCTTCCCAGATAATCTTACATTGAGCTATAACAGCAATAGCACTTAGACTTATATATCGAATCACAGTGCTTTAAAACCCTCTCAAAGCATTTTACTGAGTCAACCTATTGCCCCCAATAATCTGGGTCTTCATTTTACTCACCTCAGAAGGATGGAAAGCTGAGTCAACCTTCAGCCGCCCAGAATCAAACTCCTGGAGTCAGCAGTAAGTTAGCCCTGCAGTACTGCATTCTAACCATTGTGCCACCACGGTTCTTATAAACTGATAAATAGTATTATACTAATACATGACCTACTAATGCACAGTAGGTCAATGAGTAACAACAACTCTCATTTTCTCCCTCTGTTCTAGAGTTGTAGTGTAACCGAGGGGACCTTGAAAGATCTAGGTTGTTCTTCGGAGGAATTCCACTTAGTAACTGATTGTTTTTGCCACTCGCTAGAGTCCATTGCTCACTCTCTGGAGCATGACAGTGGTGACATTCTCACTGATACCCATTGGGGTCATTCATGGTCTGTTCCACCTAACATTCCTAGCAACTCTGATTGGTCAGATTTTGTTCAAAAGTGTGGGTGCGGCCTTTGCAACAAACAGGAAGACCTCAACTGGAAGATGTTAAACTGTCATTCTGTTTCTTTCCTTCCCCAAAACTGTGTTAACGAGACCTCTGTAACGTCTGCTGACCATCTTGTCCTGGATTGTTTTGCTGCAAAGCGGAACGGTTTGCAAGTCGCAGTCGAGACAGCCCATCTCATTTTAGATATCTCACATATAATTGAAGATCGTAATTAGTTGTGTGTGCCCATTTAGCAACTGTGATGCATTTATGCAATTCTAGGCCTCTTTCCAACCACGTCTCTTGCAACTTCAGAAAATCTGTAACAAACATTGGGATTCTCAAGGTCATGTTTTGGTATTTCCTACCAATCTATTACTGGAAGAAAAAAGCAATTCCTGCTGCGTTACAGACTCCAGAGAAGCATTTGCACATATGCAAGTATTTTAGGGTGCCATACTTATGGACCAGAAATATCGGTTGCAACTTGGCATTTCTTGATGTAACATAGATAGTTTGGTCTTATTTTTGTTTCTTTGCATGTTTGAAATTTTAAAAAAGGCATATGCTACTGAAAACACTTATGGAAATATGTAACATCTTTGGCTAGGATACCATTACCACTGTTTGTCCAGAATGTGTAAAGTAAAAGATTGTGACTAAACAAAAATTTAATGTACAGATGATAACACCAGATATTATATTAGCCTCTGTAATAAATTATGTTACTTATTTTAGCTCACCATGGAAAACATCATATATCATTAGATATGTCATAGATTAATAATTTAAGGACTGGTGCAACATAATTGGATTCTAAATAAACTATTTTTCAAAACACAGTGTCAACTTTGAAATTCAGCTGCCACATTTTTTTAAGAGAACAGTTCAAATATAAGTAAAGTCCAAATTAAGAATATTTCATTCTTAATTTAGGAATTGTTTAATTTAAAACTGGTTTAGTTGTAATAGATTGTTACAGATTCAAAATATTTTTCAAGAGTATGTACAAAAAATACTATTTTTTCTAGCATCAGCTAAATTAGATATATTACATTGAGAAAAGTTTCTCATTTCTTTCCTGTTACCTTTATTAATTTCATTGCAGAAATGTTAATATAGGAAACAAATTATTTTGTTATCTACTTTTATCTTCCAAAACAGAAAAAGGTTAAAAATGTGAGGTTCTTGCCTGCTGGCTTTTTTGAGTTAGCTGTTTTAGAGATTCTAAAAGTTTAGTTCTTAAAGAGGTAACCTTATAAATAATTTTAATTTCCACCTCTAATGAATATCATACCATAACTGAAACATCAATTCTGCCTGTTCTCCTTCCATTTAATATATCAAAAGTGTTTCAGATACAATTGGTAGTAAGAATGGATTGCTTACAATATGGAGCAGTTGCTTCAGTCTTTGAACTGGGAATATCCTGGGATATGGTTAAAAAAAATCAGAGTGGTGGCTATCATAGTGCAATCAAAGTGCTACCATTTTTATGTGTGTCACCTATTATGGCTACCACCTTGAATATTTTTTACCGAAGTCTGCGTGCATCTATGCTTTGAATATGAACTGACATATTTTTTCCTAACACGGTTTATATAAATATGTTTTTAACATAAAAAATTAAACACACACATCTCATTTTGTTACTCTCTTCTTCATTATTATTAGCTACCCAATTTGCAGGTGATCTTGAAAAGTGAGCTGTAAATTCTTGCCTGTGTTTTTACACTAACTTTGTTTAGTACTTTTCTTCCTGAATTGTTGAAATCAGAAGATCGTTTTATAATCATGAGTGGTCTAATAAAGATATTACCTCAGATGGCTCTTTGATTATGACTCTCTGTGTTTAATCTGCTTTTTCTTCATAACCTGTCTAAAAGAAGAACTTAAAAAATCATTTTGTTTAAAATCAGAATAAAGAAGTCACTCATTTTAATATGCCCCACATAGGAGGATATATCAGCTGTAAACAGAGTTCCACAATCTAAGTGCTTGAAATCTGATCCATTGTTGTCATTCCCAAAACATGTCAATGGTGTCTCTCAATTGACAGCTTAGCTTCCGCATGTCAACTACATCTGTAATCAAAGTACCTTTTGAAACCACATCAAAATCAAGGAAAAACAGAAAATCCTACTTAACATAATCAAATCTTAACTAGATAACTTAGCTTGTGTTATTCTGAATTTGTACTATCCATTGGAATATAATTTCTGCAGCTGAGTCTTCTCTTAAGGAGTTCTTGTTTATTTCAATTAAATTCTTGACTAGTTTACTGATGTCTGCATTTTGGGGATACTGTTTGCAACGCAGTATATGAAAATATTCTAATAAATATTCACTTGGTCGGTTCAGAAGATGTGCCATGCCATCTGGAAGCAATAAATCCATGCCAAGTACAATCCTGCTTAATAAAACAAAATCAGCAGTTTAGTATGGAACCGAAAAATTTGTTTTGATCTGCGAGTTGTCTTTATTTTTGAGTTTTGCTACATGTAAGGCACACACTTGATAAATGCACGTAGTTCTGGTTTTGATCTATCTTTGAACAAAAAAACAGACAAATGTGTTAAGTCAAAAATGAAATGTAGCTCTAAGCTACTCTTGTTTGGTTTGCTCATCCAAAATAACACTAAAGTGGTTGGGATTTTACTTTGCACATTCTCCTCTCCCCACCAAGGCCAGCCAACTTTTGAGGCTCACATCTTCCATTCAGTTGCTTGATTTTCAGCCCACTTGGGAAAAATGGTTTCCAATTGTTTTTCCCATCGACTAAGTTTGAATTAGTCATACTGAGCATCTTTTATTCTTGTTTCTTTCCATTTGTACAAAATTTGCAACTGTAAGATGTCAAACCAAAACCTATAATTAAATGGTGATCTTCCTAGACCCTACAATTTTTGTGGCAAGCAACCAACTTTTTTCTTTTTCTTTCTTTTCTCCAGGAAGAAATCAAATAAAAATTATAGCTTAAAGTGAATGGTCTGAAAACAAGAACATACCTTCGAAGATAACCCATTTGGGGAAAGGAAGCTTTTAAAAATGCAGACAATTGTGGAAATCAAGTTTTCTCAGACAATGTATTCCCCCTACAACCCCAGTTCTGCCAATATCAAGTTATCAAGCACATGCAAGCCATAAGATCAGAAATAATAGATGCAAATGAGATGTGCCTGTTGCCAAGGGGAGGGGAGTCCTTCCCGTCATAAATTCTAAGCATTCCAGTACATTTTTCTCCTCCAATAGTCAGCCAAGAATTCCTCCCCCCACCCATCACCCACATACATACATACATACATACATACATACATACATACATACATACATACATACATATATATATATATATATATATATATATATATATATATATATATATATATATATATGGTGTTCGGCTTGGTTCGGGTATTTTCCCACGTCATTGTAGTTGTTCTTTTAAAGTTGTAGCAACGTTTCAGCAGAATCTCATCTGCCAT